TGGGGGTGTGGGAGGGGGAAGGAGTCACAAGAAAACAGTTCTGGATGTGTACCACCCTGTATGGATTTTAAAAGGAAAGAACACAGAGGAAATCCTTGTACAGAAGCTCATTTTGTTCCCTCAACTATTAAAGTCCAACTTACAACTTTTTGTTGTGCTTCAACTTCTTCCATCTTATATTTTTTCTTAAAAAAGTGTACTTGATACAATATTTTCTTCATAGAAACAAAAGCAAAACTTTTGATATATGAAAGTCCACATATAATCTTCATTAATCAGTGATTATTTCTTTGAAAAAGTTACTGTTTTACATTTTAAAAGTCTATCACAAATATTTGAGAAGATACTTTAAGCAATTATAAAAGTATTTGAGATAATAACTCAGTATAAAAAATATCTTTCTTTATTAGGTTTACTACTTCCCTGAATTCATACTTATCCTAATGTAGAATTACAAGGAAGAAGGTAAATCAGCAGACTTGATTTTCTGCAATACCAATCAAAATACTGTAAAAACAGAGCTGTGTTTGAGAGTAGGATTCTCTTAAACTGATTCCACAGTAAAAGCCTACCCTACTGAATTTATCATAAACGAATCTGAGACAGTTTTCTTTTTGATAAACCTCAAGAAGTAATAGATCCAAGTGCTGACAGTAGTCTACACACTTGTCATACACTTATCTTGGGAAACTTGCCGTAAGTGCCTGTGCAATTGTAGAAACAGGTAAGAACAAATAGCAAATATGAGCATTCTGCCACTGCTCAATTCCCTGAAAATATCTTAGAGGGTTTTGTTTTGTTTTCTTGATTTGGCACATAACTGAGGACATTCTTTAAACTACTTTTTTGTGCATTGATAATTTTGTGCCAGGATACATGAGGATTTCTAAACACTGACAGTAGTGCTATTTACAGATCTCAGGACTGCAAGAGCACATTCTTATCACTGTTAACATTTCATCTCAAAGTAATGTTACTCTTTTTTATGCTGACGCTACTTTCATATTGCATCAACCCAGAAGTATAAAAATACTGTTTTAAAAAAAAAGCAATATTAACAGGAAAGCAAAACTGCTCTGCTCAACATATTTTCAAAGCCAAAATAGTTATATTTTTGGAAAACATTATTCAATAAAAGAAACCTTAGTTTAAATTTCCTTGATGTTTCAAGTTGGGTTTTTCGCTAATGTCTCCTGATATGCAATGAATCTTCTCAAATTCATCTTCACATTGTCCAGAACACACAGCTGATCTGCGCTATATTCTCCTTTGCCTTCTTTTCGCATCTGTAAAACCAAAACATATATACTTTACTAATATAGGTTTTTCTCTTGGGTCATCTGACAGCAATTGTGTATACGTCCTCCAGCAAGCTATGATACTCATCCCTTTTGAGAGCTCCAAAATAACATGTTCATATGCACATAGACAGATTAAAGATCAACAATACATTTCACAAGGCATTTTACTATAATGCAATATCTCTGCCTGTATCTAGCCATAATACTACTGGCATCCGATTTCAGTCATAAATCTGAAACATACACTTATTTTCTGTATCTGTTTTAATAAAAGATCTTCCATATCTAACGAAATAAACAACTGTAATGCTCTCAGATATGTATTTGAAATGTACAGTGCTTGACTTGAAGACTACGAAAGTCAGTCCACAGGCTTGGCTTTATCTGACTAAAGAAACAATGCATTAAAGGTTATTCCTCAAGACAAAGACATATTTAAAATTATAGCTTAGAAGGTTTGTTTTGTAACTCTTGAAAATACCGAATGTGTGTTCTATTTTAATTAACCAGCAACAGAACAAAAATGGCTAATCACAACTGCAGCAAGTAGGGAAAAAAAAAAAAAAAAGATGTCGATGTAACTTCAGAAGGGACGTCTTCCTTTCCCTTTCCCTCCAAGTTAGCTGTGCTTGGTCCTCCTCCAGAGACATCTAAAGGATTCACTTCACAATGGTTTCAAAAAAATACTGTGATGTGGACATCAATAATGCTGATGGTGTAACGCAGACGTTACACTGCTACATTAACGGTTACACAAACTGCAAAGTAAGCATACTGCTTTCCTCTAAAGCAGAATAGCAGGAATTTCAATGCTTTCCATTTTTTTTCATCATTTTATAGAGGCATATAGTCCTGCTTAATTATCTCTTTTAGCAGCCCAGATCTCAAAACTTAACCCATATTGTGTGTTGAGACCCAGAGCTGGCTGCATTTGATACCTACCCTCATTTTGAATACTGGTTGAAATTCTTTCAGTGCTGCAAGCAACTTAATCTGCACTGCTGCCTTTTCCGCTTCTTTACCATCTGCAAACACATCAAAAAGTGCATCCAAGGCCTCCCCTGCTACCACAAGAGAAGACTCCTTCATAGCAACCTCAAGAAGAAATTTTCCAATCATCTGAAATAAAAAAGAAAAAATGATTTTCAACAGTGTTTAAAAAAATTGAAAAAAATACTCAAGCAGTTTCAGACTTGAAAAGTTTGCTTTTTTCACCTTTAGTGTTTCAGCTGTATCTTCTGCTTTTGCCAGGACACTGCCAGAAATTCCAAGGATGCTAACTACGTTCACTCTAACACTGGAATTGCTGCTGTGAATACCAGCTTCACATAAAGCGATTAGCTGCTCAGGAGTCATACACTGTTTAATAAGGAAGAAAATACATATTTATTTACACTTCCATGAAAGCTTCTAAGGAAGACATTTGGATCGTTTGCTTCTACAGAAAAAACAGGCAAACTTGTAACAGAGAAGCAGTATTCCTGTATTATAAAACCCATGAATTCTGAAAATCTAATTAGCAAGAAAACAGTTAAACTCTCCCTTTCAACTTCTTAACATTATTTCCTCCAGAACATAACCAAGGCTGTCACAAAGCCAAGGGAAAAAAGTTTCAAGCCCAAAGGTGTTCTCACAAATTTACCTAGCTCAATAGCTATTTCCAGCATGATTGTATTTCATGCAATACAGAAACACATTTTTCACAGTTTGAAGCCAGAAAGGACCAGCAGACCATCTAGTATTACATCTTGTATAACAAAATATTATGCTTCACTCCTATATTTAGCTCACTAATTTATGTGCAACAAAGATTCTAGAATGAAAACCAGCTTCAACTGCATTTCATTAGCAAATAAAGAATCCACGTTTCTGGACACTAATTTAGTTTAAAAAAAAAAAATCTTGTCATTATACCCATCTCAAAGATACTACCTAGTACATATTGCTATTTTGGTTTCCAAATGCCTTTCACTTGTTTACATGTTTTGAAGGATATTTATAAAATAAACTGTTCCTAGCAGATCCATGAAAAACATGAAGGTTGAATGCTGTTATATCTGTACTTTCAGCATTTACAGTTATAGGAGTTTAGCACTTCATTTACACAGTTCTGTTTCAAAAAAAAAAAAAACAAAACAAAAGCATTCCAGCACAATCTGACATGGATTTAAATCTACCAGAACATACGAGTTCGAAATCTTTTACCTGGGAGATGTTCTTTGATGCCATTGTTTGTAAGAGCGCCCTCAAAGCACTAGTTATGGCTTCCAGGAACTCTGTGTCTTTAGGGAATTCTGTCAGAGAATTGAACCCAAAGCCAAAAGTTAAACAGGAAGGTAAGTGATATAAGAAGCAAAGAAATAGAAATTCCTTAATCTTTTAATTGTTCCTCCAGGTACTACCACAAGCAGGAGGAGCTAGATTTTCAGAGATTGGTCTTTGTAGGTTGTAACCATAGCGATTTTTTGAATTCGGCATTCACATTCACGTTAATTGTACCTGGAGCTTAGATCAGTTATTTATGGTCCTCAATTTCAGACACATCCCTGGTTAAGACACTTAAGTGACCTAACATATGGAACAAACCAACAAAGTCAGAACAGTAGCTTAAAGACTGGGTATCACACACTGGCCGCAATACAGGAATTAAGGAAACTACAGTAGCTAACTGGGTACTTAACTCCCTTCCTGTCTTGTAAGCAGGCTTTTTTTTTTTTACGCTCCCAGAACGCTGGACTGTTTCCAGCTCAGGCAAAAAGCATACTTTTCCTGTGGTTCAATAACCTTTCAGAAATGAACAATTCAAACACTGTATTATTCCCATTTAGCGACAAATAACTACTCATCAATACCAGCTATCATCTTTGACACACATTCTGGATTTCTTGAAACTTTCTATTTTCCTCTAGTGTGTTCTTACTTTCTGGAATAGCCCAGAAGCAGAAATTCTTGACAATTTAATGCCTATCTCCTTCTTTCCCATTTAAGCGACTTAGATCTTTATACCTCTTCTTGACCCTGTAAACCACGTGCTGGTATCTTACCTGCTACATCTAGCAGTTTCCATTAGACAGCATTTAACTATTAGAAAAAGATAGAGCGTTAACAAAAATGGACATGGGCCATTAACCTAACTTATCACTACCCTCTGTCTTCGGCTGGCCACCTCTCAAGATTTCTAAGAGCTTTCTGACTATTGCTAAGTATAACTCGTAGGCCCTTGTAGTCCTGCTCTTTTAAGCAGGAGATAGGCAAATATTTTCCATACACTTCCTCACATATGTCTTCATATTTATTTTTGCTTCCTGCATTTTAGTTTTTCGAGCACTATGCTCTCATGAAATATACTTCCTTAGTCATAATGTTCCCATAGACTGATCACATGCTTTTAATGTGACTTTTTAAGAAAGGAGTGTTTTGCTGGCAGATGCATTTTCAAGCACCTATGAATGCCACGTTGTACTATACTACAGTGAAAAAGAACTATACACGCCACACTTGTGGCTACAAACGAAGACACTTGAAAGAAGGGAAGAAAACCAGCTTCTCAAGCTTCTAAGAGACTGGAAATGACAAAGTAATGCATATACTAGATTTCAACAGATCTGTCTTATGAAAAAGATTTTTTTTTGTCAGTTTTGAGAACTGGCAGGCTCTTCCAGTCTGTAGGATTTTTTTGAGGGGGGTAGAGTCATGCCATATAACTGATCTTAAAACAAAACACATTATTAGAATACTTTTAGATGAAGCAGTCAGAGAACCAGATCATCAACCTGGAATCAGCTGCTTACATTTTTGTAAAAATCTCTAATGTCACTAACACAGAGATACACAGAGTAAATGGTCCAATGGTATTGTTGGAACAAAGCCAATCTGATGTATGAGATGACAGAAGGTAGTAGGCCATACTAACTGCTGCCTATCTGCACTAGACCATCCATTAGTATTGACACTAGTAGATCTATGGGGACACCATCACAGTATTTCTATGAAATAACGTGTCTTGGAGGAATTACAGTGGATGCATTATACCATTCACCAGGATATGTTTGATATTCTAAAACAGTGTCGTTTTTAGAAAAATTGAATTATCCAAATTATTGCCTTCTCCCTTCAAATCAGATCAACATCACAGCAGGAAATCTGATAAGCAGCTTTGATATTTAGTCTTAAGAATTTTGCACACTTTCTTACTGTAAATATATTTTCAATAAAGCTATACAACCACATGCACAATGCATGTCCTGGAGACAAAAAGGCTACTATCTTTCCCACTGTAAAAAGTATGCACGTTTTACAGCAACCATTTTTGGTAATTTCCTAAGATTCCTACAGAGAAGTGATGTAAAAGACTGCTGGATACTCTTCATTTCAGGTGGCTGTTTAGGTTAGTCTGCACATTTGAACGGAAAATGTCTCGTCTTCTTCATGATAAAATGGTTGATTGGTGAAAAACAGCTATTATCACAACTGTGATATCAAGCAAAAGAATTCTGGTCTCACAGCAAGGCAGGATTCATCCACTAGCCTTCCGTTTGGGCACACCGATGTAAAGTGTATCCTTGTATTAGGAGCATGCTTGCTCAGGACGCAATCTGGATAAACAGATTATATCAGGATACACTGTTTTGTCAGCATGTTTCCAGCATTTAATATCCTTGTATTGAAGGCCAAGGGTATGAAATTAATAAAATATCATTAAAACCACTTAACAATCTGCATGGTCAACTTACATCTGTATGATACAGGCCAAGCAAGCCCTCTTCACTAAACAGCTTACCTGTCTTAGAAAAGACTAGCTGTGAGAGATGCTGTGCAAGTGACTGAAGTGCTGAAGCTCCCCCAAGACAATCCACATCTGACACTAATAAAATGCTGTGAAGACATGTCAAAGCTCTACACTGCACTGTGTTCAGTCTGAAACAAACAAACAAAAAATGCTCTTACCAGATCTTTTCATAAAGAAGAAATGTTGAAATACAAACAAGGATCTTTAATTAAATAAGACTGTGATCCAGTGTGCAATTTAAACAAATACTTGTATCTCTTTATTGAAAATCACATATCAGATCTGCATCATTCAAATCTTTAAAGTAACCCATGGAAGGACAATCCTCCTAAGAGTTCTGTAACAACTGAACATACGTGAAGAATAGTAAGAGAGACAACAAAATTCCTACTTTTTAATTAATGGTTTCCAAGATGGATTGTGCATACAGATGTCTAGAGCAACACTGTTCGGAAAAGCAGTTTTTTCAAGAATCTGGGGGGGGAAAAAAAAAGGTTTAGCAATAAAGTTCTGGTTTGTGGGTTCTCTTTGAAGTGCACAGGGGAGGAGGTAGAAATTTTAGTTTTAATGTCAAACAGATACCTCAAACTACATATTTCACATATGATTTTCTTCAAAGCTCTCCAGGTAGCAGATGTCTCACCTGCTGAAAATGCCAGTATCTTCCTCAATTACTCATATACGATGCAACTACAGACTGGGTTTAGCAGAGTATATTTCAAGTATCCAACTGTACAGAACATAAGGTAATTCTCTAAGTCGCTCCTATTCATTTGTTTAGATCTTCTTAGACATTATGCTACAGAATGCTCAGATAGCTGCACAGCCCACAGACCTTGCCGGAAAACTTACACCGCTTGTTAGTAAATACAAAACTCCCTGAACGTTATTCATCTCACGTCTTGACATTTTTGTTCAGAATTCTATCACACTGTTGGATCAGTGTAATAACTAGTTCAAATGAGGAATTTTACCTTTACAACCCCAAGTAAGAATGAACAAAACAACTCTGAAACAAGAACAATTTGAGCTCTTGCCAGCGTCAAATGTTGTATTTTAGATATTATGTATAGAGCAGGGAAGAGGAGGAACAAGCACTTTCCAATACTTACTAGCATCACTCACATACGTTACCTCCACCTCACTTAGCTAACATGGAAATTTGGCAGCTATTCTTCTACTCAACATGCCCTTTCTTTTTGCGTTTAACCCTTTTCACGTCCAAATCAAGAAATAACCTTTATGGTTTTTAAAAACGCCAAACAAAAAAAATGTATCAGGTTTCTGAACCTTCTTCTTCTGAACCATAAGAACCTCCTATTCCAACTTACATGAAGAAATTATTTAGGTCAAGTCAAGTCATGTGATGGTGCTTATCTCGAGGAAAAAAAAAAAAAAGCTAAACGGATTTTTACAAGGTTTTCCAGCTGGATTGGGATAATTTGTTTGCCTAGCCTGAGATATAAACGAGGCACAAAGGAAAGATTTTATTTTAGTGCCGACAGCTGATACAAGACAATACCTTCTTCGGAATGAGGTAGTTCAGAAACGCTGAGTTAACCTCATCAGAGAGGCATAGGGGTGACATTAGCAGCCCACTGCCCTCATTGTATGAATTTTCCATAAACAGATCACTTTCATCACTGCTGGAGAGTTCCTCCCATTCATCATCAGAGGGATCTGAGAACAGAACATAGACTATTAAATGCAAGACCACTGATGCAGTAGGTACCCCGCTTCTGGATTATACTAGGCTCCAGCTCTTGGTTTAAGTCTTTACAATCTACTGCTCCAATGAAGTCCACGCAAAACCGAGTGCCATTAAGCCGTTGATAAATACTGCATCCTTTTCGTTTAAATTGTTTTATTACAATACTTATTTTCCATTCACTCAGGGAAGAAGTATTCTTATGAGGGATATTCTCCACACACAAACACTTCACTCACTCGTATTAACTGTGCTTTGCTTAAAGAGATCAAAAAAGGTGTAACAGAAACATTTCATGAAACATTTACTAAGATTTAAACTTGAATTGTACCAGTTTACTTTTCACAGGTGAAGTCATGGCATGCAAATACACCGGTTTAACTTAACTTGTTTACTAACTACTGTAATCAATTTAAGGCAACTGTTTTCTCTTGCAATACTGAGGCCACAGACAGATGTCATCTTCTGGCACTAACTGAAGCAGATGAAGATGTTACTGTCCACACAGCAAGGCCAGTGAGAAGGAAGGCATAACAGGCAAAGCTAGCCAGAGCAGTCCAGTTCATCTTTGCTCGCCATTTAAGATAACATACTTTACGCAAATTAAACTAGGTTAAAGAACCCTTACACAATTTACTCTGCAAACAGATCTGTAAGCGCAATACTCTAAAAGCTGGGGGAAGCTTGAGGTAATGCTATCAACTGGCACAGCTACTGCAAGGTGAAAACCTGCCCATGGCCTGCGGCTGACTTGGCCTGACAAGCACAAGCTAAGTTGGTCGTTTATATTTAAACTGATATATCTATGTCCAAAGGGTTTACAGTGATTTATCTAAAGTTGTTTTAAAGCTGGTTACATTTTAACTGGTATAAAATTGGTGTGTACACAAGTCCTAAGTCTACACACTGGAACGATCCTCCATTGATAGATGAAAGTTCTGCCTGCGTAAATAGGTCAGGATATTTAACTACTGTGACAAAAAAAAAAACAAAACCACCAACAACATCCACAAACACTTATATCCACCCCCGTGTAATTTTGTCTGCCAACATAGTTTCATATGTAATCCAGTTACTGTAGTAACTGTACCACAACAGCCACACACTTTTTCTTTGGCAAAAGTAAAGTAAAATACGTTCACTTAAAATACAGTAACAGAGGTCTAAACGAACGCATCTCACCAGCACTGTGCAATAGCTTAAGAATATATTTAAAGGCTGTTTATCTGATGCACATGTGATGATGAACTCATCAAGCTGTGGTTGCTTGATCACATGGGCAACTTCTTTTCACTTATGGTAATATCCAATTAATTCTACAATCGTAATGCATTGGTGTTAGCCTTTGCAAGAGAAAACAGTTCTCTCTTATGCACTGCCACCCATCATTGTGGCAGTAAGCATGAAAAAAGTAGACCCTCACCCCTTCAGTCAATCTCCTGCCTCTTCTAAAAAAAATTCCATCTGCATCTTGACAAAGCAAAGAAAAAAATTATTCTTCAGAAATTAAATAAAAATGATATTAGCTGAACATACAATTCAGCAACAACAAAGAAAATAGCAGCTAAATCGCAGTTCGCAGCGAGTGAGAAGACAAAGGGCAGAGCAAAAACCGGACTTTAGAACAGTAGCCTATACCTAAGATCAGATTTATTCCATATCGGATGGAGATGTGTGAGCTTTTCCAATGGCAAACCCCTCTTAATTAGGGCCGGTCACCTACGGCCTACAAATTGGACAGCAATGCTGGAGTTTCTGGACTTCCTTCCTGTGTTGCCACTAATAGGGCAAGCTCCCTGCTTCTCCTCCCAAATGCCAACCAAGATTCAGTAAAACATCTCTCGAGAGTCTAGTTATTTCCCTTATTTTGTGGTAAGCTGAGTGTTTCTATGAATTCAGCATAACGGCTAAAGCTATTTTAGTCCTCATACAACTTGAAAATTAAATGAGCAGCTGCCTCTGGATTTCTCCCAGTTTCTACAGACTACATCTCTGTCTGCCCATGAATGGGTAAAGTACTGTAGTGAAATACAACACAATCAACCTTAGATTACATTGAGTGAATGGCAGAATATGCAGCTTATCCACAAGAGATTTTCCAATTAAAGGGGAGAGCTTATGAATTACAGCTCATTAGATGAGAAATGCTGTTATGAAAGGAGCTTCATATACTAGGTGCAGAATTTCCTTGTGCTGCAAAAGAAAAAAAAAATCACCATTGGGAATATCTGGGTATTACTGAGTTTTTTATTAGAACCTGAAAGATTTACTTACAAAGTTATCTCCTACACAATTCCTTTTGCATCAGTCTCGGGAACTGTATTAGTAATTACGAGTTCCAGTTTTGTTTTTTTAAGCAGAGTTTGAGAATCGTTTATTTATTTTCTTGACTATTTGGAGAAAAGCTATCAAACTGAACAGAGTTCACAGAAGACACAGCATATCTTTTTCCTAACCTCCTCCCAGAGCAACAGCTTTTCTTTTTCCTCCAAGAAAGCTCTTAAAGGTGGAACTCTGAACAGCCCAAACCTGCACTGCTGTCAAGTTGCGTGCAAAAGCTGTCTCTCCTCCTCCTTTGGCATCACTTGTAGTATCAAAACTAAATCCCAAGCAAGAAAGCAAACTCTGTTCCAAAAAACGGATGCCCCAGTCCTGCAATAGGATTCACAGTCATATCGTATCAAAATGACTGTTAGACTGTGCTCTAACTCCCTAACAAAGAGCTAGTTAAAAAATGTTCTATGAAATTTCTATTCTGCATAAGTTTTTTTTTTTTTTTTTTTTAAAAAAAACGCAGGCACATTTGATAAAAACTTTCCTCTAATTCATACAGGATGTGTAGTATCATGAAAATAAGTGTACACTTAAGTAACAGAAATTATTTAAATGAGGAAAAAATATATACTTAATTTAGTAATATGCATTACTATTATGATTCTCATTCAGGTGAGAGCATTAGGGACCACAAATCTATGCCTTTTTACCCTCAAAGGTTAAGATCACCAATTAGCCAACTAAGCATGACCTATTCCAGAAACAAAAGACCACACAACACTAGCAATAAAAGAGATTCCTACAGACCTTCACTGCAGCACATGTTAACAATGATTTCCAGAGCAGTCTGCTGAGCCATCAGTAAGGCTGTCACTTCTTTCAGCTCCCACTTATCAGACTAAAAAAGAAAAAGAAAGAAAGAAAAAAAAAAAAGATGAACCAAATTTAATTTGGGAAAACAACATTTCAGCACACTTTAAAGTAGCTAGGCTGTCAGTGAAAAATACAACCCAGCCACTAGGAAATACCATCCCACCCCAAACCAATTTATTATTTCCACAAGAGGCATTAACCTATCATCTTTATTTCTATTTGATGCTTCAGCTGTACCAGTGAACAAATTTTACATTTAAAAATCCTACCTGCACTAATGTCGTAACGCAAAGGAATTACCAAAATGTAAAGTCCTAACAGAAACACTTATTTCTGGGTTTTTTTTTTCTCTCCCCCATGCATGCAATAGTGAATGCATTTGTTAAGCTCTCTGCAATCTTTACACATGACTTAACACAACCATTAAACGTCTCATTTACCTTAGGCAGCGATCAGGAACTTCCTGCACTACCTACACGTAAAGGTGTCAGATAAGCCTATACTTTCCACTAGAGGAAAAAAAGGAAACGTGCTTTTCTTATCATCTGCATTCTATAACTTGGCATTTCAAACATTTGTGATGAAATTCTCCGTGTTCAGCTTTGAAGTTTTAGCTAGAAGAGTCAAGCCATTTGGGAGAACAAGATCAGTAAACATTATTAGTTGGCTATTCTGGCTAACACTCAGTTAAGAACAAGTCAGATGCACCAAGCTCTCCGAGAGCCAACCAGCTATACTTACTGGAAGTAGGTCTGAAATGTCATTTGCTCGTCTGACTTTTCCCTTTGGTATTTCTTCCATTTCATCATCTTCACTCAAAACACAGCTGTCTATAACATCACTCATGTTTTCCTCTGTTTCTGCCTCTGCAGAAAGTTTTAACCTGTTTTTTTCAGCTTCATTCATATGAATAATTGTTTCACCAGCATCTACTTCTAACGATTCTGAGAAAATCTTCAGGACTGCATTAACCATGCTTGCCAGGCTGCCTGGTGGAATAGTGTCCTTGATATTCCAGATAGTGCCTAAACATGAGACAGTTGAAACATGAAAATCTATTAAAATACTCAATTTGCAGCTCTGTAATAACCATATGTTTTGTAAGGACACAGCCTCCATTAGTTAAAATATGCAGTGTTTATATTTCAGTACAAATCATCAAGTCTTTCTCTACAGGCTTGCATTTTTTTTCCCGTTCAGCGCTTCATATGCTAATCTGTCATAACTATGTTGTGCCCAGACCTTAAGCTCAAGTAAATCTCAGCATGTAAGCAGACACAGAATTTATATGGGGCAATCTTGATGATGCTTTTTACCTCAGATAAGAAATCCGCATGACACAAACTGTTTTTAAGGATTCTCAAAATTAAATGGACTTCTTATACTCCAGAACCAAAAATGAGCCTGGCTGATCATCTGAGGTAGAAAGAGGCATGCTAGGTAGAGAGCCTGAGGTAATAAGCCTATGCTTGGTAAGATCAAGACAGTTCCTATACTATTTATTACTGACTCATTTTACTGGCGAAAATTGAATGAACAGTTTTTAAAAAAAAAAAAAAAAGTATCCTGCTAAACAGGCACTGAATTCAGAATCAAGTTTTTGAGACAGTTTTAAAACTAGTTTCAGATATTTGGGGTATCTTTCACTCCAAGAGAGAGGAAAACAAAATCCCAAGAGGCAAAAATAACTTTATGAACAATCTGTCCAGGCATAGCTTATAGCTTGTGTTAGGACAGCATCGTGATTAGATGTCAAGATGATAACAGAGTAAAAGGTTAAACCTTCTGCCCCTGCCTCGCTTCCTGTGCTATCCGTCACAAAACAAATGAATCCCCTAAATTTAATGCTGTACCTGCTATCAGTGTTCTCAAAAGGATATGCTTCATTGAGCTCTCCGGACACAACATAACAGTTTCCAATACTTGTTGTGTGGAGGAATTGAATGAAGAAAGAAGTTCAGGATTGTCCTCTGTCACTGCCTGTAAGCAGTTTGCTGTAGCAAATAAAAAAAAATTAATTAACAAACCCAATGGTAGCTTTCACTCTCCTAATGAGAAAGCACTATCTTCCTGAAAGCTGGGATAATGAAACACAAACACAGGGAAAACACAGCTTGATACAATATCATATTGTAATGATATGACACTGGCCTTTACAAATTGTGTTTTATGTTAAGACAAAGTCCTCCGGCAGAACCGCATGTAAAACAGGTGAGGACAGTACCATGTCAGGCATGGGATTGCTCATATTAATTTCAGCTTCTCAAATTTCAATTTCTCCACTGGATACTGACTTGGAAAAACAGCAAAAAGTGTTGCAAGTAAAAATGCCAGTAAGACCATTATAAGACGATCGTGGCAATACTAATAATAAAAGTATGTTCAAGGTGAAAGGAGCTGTTTCTTCTTTTTTTTTTTAAATTATGTCCTTTGCTCTACAAAAAAAAAATCTGCATTACAAAAAACAGAAAACCAAACAGAAGAACAGCTTCCCTCAATGCACTTTCTTTCCATAAAACTTTTCCTCCCATGTAACCACCAAATATGCCATTCCCCTTTAAACTGAAAACAAGCACAACAGATGTCAACTTCTGAATGATCTACTGTTCAGATAAGAAATTTAAAATTTTATATGCAGTGTGAACTTTAAGCAACACTAAGCCAGGTGCGTTATTCAATGGATGTGACATCAGTGTTACATTCATATAATAAAGAAAATTTTACATATTATATATATCTATATCTATATATATATATATATCTTTAGATCCTTAGCTTCTCTTTTTGTCACTTACCAACTGAAATAGCCAGATCTACATTTGTGGAAAATTTCTTCATATAATGTAATACAGCCTCCAGACACCCTTCTTTATTGAATATGGATACTGCTGTATTGTTGCATTCACTAACACAGAAAAGAGATTAATAAAACACTTTTCCCAGGAAAAATATACTGTAATAAAACTTCAAGTAACATGTACTCAGCATTTCTAGCATTTGTATTTTAAAAATCCACCTAAGAATTACACATTAGTCCCAGAGCTATCTTTCATTATTGAGCTTATAGTGAACTCTTCATAAGAGTGGTGAGAGGCTAGAATACCCTGGACACCTTTGGGCAAAGCTGGCTTCTGCCAGCTACTTCTTCACACTTGCTTCTGGAGTTTAATAGCCTAAACACAGTCTCATGCAAACAGACAAACCAGCACGAGCGTAAAAGGCAATGCAGCTTATAGCCGTAAGCCAGACCTGGGCTTTCGGCAGCAGTCAAACCCTTCATCTACAAAGCCACTGAGAGCAGAGAACAACGAGCAGTTGCCTTTCACATCTAAGTAGTCATAAGAGTCTAAGAACTCTAGAAAACTCGTTTCTACTTGACATACAAAAGTGCACACTTTTGTAGACAAACAATATAAAATGTGCCATTTAATTGGGTAACTAGCTGGATTTGTATTTCTTCATATTTTTACAGCTATTTCCATTTTTATGCCAGAACATTAATATGAGACAAACTCAGAATAAAAAAAAGCATAGGACCTAACTAGCTATGCGGGTCTTCAAAGATTTTTTAAAATGTTATTGCTCAGCATCAATGCCAGCTCAAATTTTATCAGTACCAAACTTAGCAATGATGCCAGTGGTTCACTGTCATTGCCACAGCGTTCAAAATACAGAAGTGATTTATAGCACACTTAAAGATCATGGTCCTGCTCCAAAGCACTTCTGTCTGCAAAAGCAATAAAGAAATGAACACAAAAACGGATAGTTGAGTCACAGTTGCAACAAGGGGTCATATATTCTGTACAAGGTGCCAAGCAAGCAGTTTCTGTACTGTTCTAGATTTCAGTCACGAAAAAAACAGATTTAGAAACAAGGCCTCAAACCAGCAGCCGTTCCATACAGGCAGACATATAGGCAGCTCCCCTGAAGTACTGTACACCGTAAGACAAACTCTATATGGACCAAAGCGTGTAATGACATAGAACTGTAACAATACCGAATCGAAATCAACAGCAAGAAAATAAAGTTCAAGGACTACTTTTAATACACGCTTGCACTGCTTCAATGTTTATAGCTCTATTGGTATTAACAGTGTTGCTATTTCTCTTAGTTCCATAAGTAATTAACATTAGAAACACTGAGCAAACAATTCACATTTTTTGTCACATAATGAAGTGGACTTGTGCTAGTGCCCAAGTCACTAAGGAGTAGTTAGTCCAAACACTTGATATAAACTTAATATAAGAGACCTGCACAGAGATGAAGAAGTGAAGAACTCCTCATATTCCCAGAGCAATGCAGTCCACTGATCAGAAATTAATTTGTTCTATCTCCCATATTACAATAAGGATCTACAGGAACTACATGCAAGACCACAGAACCCCAACTGTACAAGTGTCTTCAAAGAGAAGTTGACAGAACACTCTCAGAAAACAACATCAGAATTCAGGATGAGCAATCAATGTAGATAAAATTACCACACTCCTTAAACAAATGACCAACTTGGTGCACTTTTAAAATCCTTCACTTACAAAAGCAATCTACAGGGGAAGATAACAAATATATTTCAGATCAGATGAGGACTCACTATTTATTATACAAAACACGCATAGGAGCAACACGATCAGAAATGAGAATCGGCAACCGAATAATCTTCCCCTGCAAGGAGAGCTACTTCCCTTCTGCCTCAATTACCATGTAAAACTTTTTTAGGGGCAATCTAATTTAGCTCTTCTAAGAGGCCAAGGTTAACACAGAACTTACCACACATTCCACAGCAAGTTAATAGCCTCGTTGGCTATGTCTTCAACATAATTTTTGTTCATTTCTCTGCGTTTCTTTGGAGAGAGCTGATTAGCATCTAGTCCAGCGCTACACTACAACCAAATAAAAAAACTGGGGTTGGGAAACAAACAAGCCAAGAGAAAAAACAAAAGCCTAAAAAACTTTCAAAGCAGAAGAAATTTTGAGATCTCTCATCAAGTGTTTAATAGCAGCAAACCTGACTGTTTTCCTCTTCTCCAGGGCCACAATGGAATCGAATCATCGATTTCTTTCCCTGGTAGAAACAGACTCTCTTACAGTACTTGTTCTGCATTCAACAGTCTCCTGAAGCTTTTTTTTGTTTTGTTTTGTTTTGGCTAAACAAATACTTAGCAAGCTTAGAACTGAAACGCTACTTCTTGTTAGTATAGTTTTTCATGCAATTTGCAATAGTTCTAATCACAGAGACTAATTCAGCTATGTATCTTGCTATGCTTCACAACAGTGCTACTACCTGTATTTTATAATGGGGAAGAAGCATACAGACAATGGTGGTACTGCTCAAGGCTGCTCATATGAAGAGCAAGGAGAGAGAACTCAATGCAATTCCTAAACTGCACCTGGACAAAACAAAGAATTCAGTGCAGATTATACAACAGCAGTAGCTACCCAACTGTAAATGAAAGCATTGATTTAGACAACATTCTTTACAACAACAAAAAAGTCACCAGAAAAAAAATGATGCAACCTAAATGTTCGATCCGAACACTGCCTGACAGAATAGGCTGGTCTTGAATAAGATTCAAGACTAAGAATCTCCAGACCATTTATGCAAAAATCATCTTAAGCAGCAAACATCATCACTGACCCAACCCAGGAGGCCAGGAGACAGAAACAAATGTTTGCTTGAAACCTCTAGCATCACTTCAGTACTATTTTTCAAGAAGTTGCACAGCAAGAGTTGCAGCAATGTAACACTAACAAATCCTAACGATATAATGATGATAAGATATATTCTATGAATCCACCTGGCTGGCATTCAAAGCGTATGGCATTTACACTCCTAAAGGTAAAGGAACGCTATTTAATCTACCAAAAGGTTCCTTTAAAGACCTTACCTTGAGAATAGCTACAAAAGTAGAACTATTTTTGAGAAGAGGATAATTCAATAACTAAATCAATTTTTTAAATCTGAGCAAAAACAAACACACCTCTTTCAGAAGTGCGACAAGGGGTGTCATGATGTCTTTTGTCACCATGTCATCACAGACTTCAAATCCTCCACAAGCACTGAGATTTCTGGGAAAGATGAAACACTTTGGATCAGATACAGTACCATCTATGAATGTTTCAAAAAAAAAAAAAATCATGCATTATTGCTTCTCTTAAGGTTATGATCCATTTTAAAACAAAATGTATCTGCTTAATCAGTAACTTTAGCCTTCCACCTTTCTAACCAAAAATAAGTTTGGTTTCAGAAAACAAAACAGATTTCACTTACCCACTTCTCTGAACTACAACATGACTTCTGTCAGCTAATTACTCAACGAGTATAAGACGCATCACAAATTAGCTCTATTTCTGAAGCAAATGCTAACACATTTTTGTACATGTTGGTCTGAATGCAGAACAGCAACTCAAAACAATGCTATCAAATATTCAGAAATTTTGGGGAAAAACTAGGTATTCGCATCGTCTAATCCATCGTTCCTGTCATGTTATCGAGACAGGAAATACCACAGCAACAGCACTCAAGTGCTCTCTGTTGCTTCATACAACAGGGTTTTCCTAACATAAGCACAGGTTACAACGCGTTCCACCGCAAGGAGGTAAAACGGTGGTAGCTACCTCAAACCCTGTTCCTGCTCCGAAAGCCTGGTGGCACCCTGCTGGAACGAGACAGACCTCTCTTTTGTGGATCTCAATATGGCGAGTCATGCGCACTTAATCACAACAGAGATAAAACAAGAGACTGACATTCCAGTTCATGAACTCTAACAGCAGAAACCCACTCTTATTTACCATGCCCAGAGCACCTCCTTCTAACTCTGAATATTGTAACTGCTTACCGGAGAGCCCCTGCTGCTGTCTCACGCACAGCTAAACTGTGATCTAGCAACATAGGCCCCAAACACCGGACAACATCTCTCTGCAAAAACGCTGGGATTACATGCTTCTGCTGCAACAGTTTGGAAATACTGGCACAGGCGTACTCTCTCACTTCAGCACTTGGATGCTGTAGCTGCAGAGACACAAACAAGGCAGAATTGGGGAGGAGAATGAAGCTGGAAGGTTTTACCGAGTGAAAAAAAAATGATCTGCCTTTTGCTTTGCAGACCACAGCACTGTAGCTCCTATTTTATCACTCCTTAATAGAATCAAGAGCTTTTAATCTCCATGAAGATTTTAATTCTTTACCTGGGTTGTGTGTGTTAACTACATGACTGGATGCATCTTATTCTGGGTGTTGAACAAGAGAGCCATTGTTTAGATACAGACTTGACACTAGCAAGACCTCGTTCCTAGTTTTGATGATCATGCTAAAAAGAACATATACACACAAGTGGGGAAAAATACCATCAAACAGGTGTAACGGACATAAGAAACGGTACTGATAAAGAAAGACTGAAGAATTAAAAAAAAAAAAAAGGCAAAGACATAATAGTCCTCACTATAAAAACACCTGTATAGAGAAGAACACCTGCAACAGAAATTTAGGTTTGATATTAGAATTGCTAACCAGAAAAATAATAAGACAGCAGAACTGACTACACAGGTGGTTATGGAATTTCCCTTATAGAAGAGGGGTAACAGAGAAGGTGAATATCTGCTGAAGAGAGTGGGAAGGAGTGGTAAACCAGCTCCTGCCCCACTGGAAACACGGAGAGAAGCCTCAGTACCTCCCCACTCCTGCACACTTCTGTTTCTACACTTACTTTTTGACTTTAAAAAGTTAGTCTGGAAGAATAATGAAGCAGTGACTTGCTCAATCAGTTCAGTTAAGTGAACAAAGAATTAAGAAATAATTAAAAGGAAGGAATACTTAAAGGAAAACAGAGATTTTTACTTGATACCAACGTAACACGTGCACATGAGGGCTTAAAGTGTAATTTTCATCAGCAATGCTTAATCCCAAAACAGAGGAGCACGGTGAGCAAGCGGCTACGTCCAGTCTTTTTCAACACGGCATTTTCTATCAGTAATTTCCTCCGTGGGGGTCCGGGCTCGTTGTCCCCTCTGCCTGTCCGCCGGAAAACCGCGGCAGCCTG